AATTTTCAGGACACCAAGACAAATCTTCCTTCATCATCAGTGATGTGTCATTCAGGTGACTGATGGACAGCTCTGTCTCAATCAGGAGAAGGATCTTTTCTATTTATAACTGACAGCACATTTAATGCTGGGGTAGAAGATGTGGGATGAAAAGCAAATTTAAGGAAAGGGGATAGAGAGATCAGAAGTTTCAGCTTGTGGCTGATACGGTAAAAAGATATTCTCATCCAAGTGAGTAGAAAGGAGCATCTTGTGAATAGAAGGAAGAGGATTTCAAAACTGATAACTCTTCAGGACATAATACAAAATGTAAGATTAAAAGTGTATGGCTTAAAATACTGGCATTCTAAGAATGATTTTATAACATTTTTTGAAGCTTGAGGTTTTAAGCTGAAATTTTTGTTGAAGGTTCAAGTTTGATTTTCATGTAAATTGTGATTTAGTGGTCCTGTGTTTTAAATACAGAACTGTCTGTTCACAAATGCAATTACTGTAGATAAATACTGCTTGAAGAAATTGACTTGTTATTAAGGAACAGATACAGAAATATGCCTTCTTTTTGTTTTTATTGTTCCCCCAGCTCAGGGTAACTACATGAAACAGGAACTACACAGCTTTCTATGTTTCCAGTGATTCCATAGTAAAGCCAAAAATTATGAAATAATGGGGGAAAGTTCTAAAAACTTAAAATTAGGAAGTTCTTTTACAGTGGTGCTAACTGACTGTGCAGCAGCTAATATATGGAAGATGCTGGTTTGCACTAACCATTAGTGATGGATGGCTGATCCTAACTGGTCAGGGTGAAAACCTACTGACCAAAGGAGCGGCTAAAAGAGAAGGTAGTGGAGGTTAAACATTGAAGCAGGTGCATTTTTATGTTCAGAAGATTTGTGCTCACTCCTTTCTAGTGGTGATTTCCATCTGAAGTACCGACTGCAATTTGTTTTGTTTCATGAGATCTGACAAGATCATGACCTGATGGTTGCATAAAGCAGGCTAAGCATTTTTATTTGTCATCCAAGGCCCAGAGTGAGGAGATAAGAGATCCAGGCTTAAAGTCAAATGGAGTTTATCTCACAAAACATCAAAGTGCATGCTCAGGCCCTAAGAAAAGACTTAAAATGCATTAAAAATGTCAATGGAAGTTTAGAAAAGTAGAGAGAAAAGGAAGAGTGCATATTTTATTTTTTTTTTCCTGCCTGCTTTTGAAATGTGTGCAGAAAACAGAAACATACAAATATAACCTTGTTCTGTGACTAGAGAAAATCCATCTCTGAGTTTCAGCCTGAGCATATTATCTCCATTGCCCCTGATTTCTGAACCTTTCCCAGCATCTACTCTCTCGTAAAGTAAAATTGTTTGAAAAACTCTAACAAAAAAGTGTAAAAGAAATCCCTGAACTCCTGACCTTCTGCTCTGTACATTAGAAAATGAATTTCTAATACTACACCTATCTTCAGCCATGCAAGTGGGTTTTTGGGTTTGAATGCTGAGATAGAACTAAAGGAAATGCTAAAAGCATTTGCTGTTATTTTGGTCTGTTTAAGGTATTTTATTTTTTTCTAGGGAGCTTAAGCTTTATAGCTTTGGAAGAGACTTCAGAGTATTCTCCAGAGTAAGAGCTAGCTTCTATCTTGTAGGAAGAGAAGAAATTTGGAGTAAAATTTGTCTGTAACTACTTGGGGATGAGGATACTTGCAATAAATTGGCCTTGATGTAGCCTGTTCAAATATCCCAGATGGGTAAACACATGAGCAGGGACTCACCTTTAGAGTCACTATTTGATATCAGGTTTTCAGCTAAGTGAGGATAAAGCCCTGAGTTTTATGGTTTTAACAATGCAAGTGGGCAGCAGGCAAATCAGCTTTGTTTTCACCAAGTGAAAGTTGACAGAACATCAAAGTTTAAACAACTTCAAGGCTTAATACTAAGCAGAAATTGCAGAAACTTTCAGTCAAGGGTTCAGCTGCAAAAATAAAAAAGATGCTCCTTCAGCAGAGAATTGCCAGTTTCATACCATGCATTGAGAAAACTGTTTTTATGAAAAATTTTTAAAATTTTTAGGGAAATGACAAGTGTTATGCAAATAACCCTATCATTGAAAATATCTAAATGTAATATTGTTGAAAAATATATACAAGGTATTCCCTCCCAAACATGATAGCTGTTTCCCAGAAAGTTAATCTGTAAGTACTGTAGATTATTTAAGGTCTCCAGAAAAAATATTTGATTTTTCAAAATTGATAAAAATTTAAAGAGAAATTAACCTAAACATTCAAATGCATAAAAAGTAGAAAAAAAAGAAGTCAGGGATTTCTAACCTAGAAAAAAAGTTTTAATAGCTCCAAAACTTGAAGTCAAAAGAAAGCAACTTGACTTGAAAGACTTGCTTTTGAGAAATATAAGAAATTAGGGTGTTTTTTAAGTAAATTGAACAAAATAAATGAATTTGTATGTTAAAGGAAGAAGAGAGAAGGGAAGTAGACTGTAAGTTTTATATTACTGCAGTTATGAAGAACAGAAAGTGATTCAGGAAACTTATGAATACAGAGGAGAAATGTGTGGTCAGAGAGAAAAAGAGGGCTGTAATTGTATATAGAAAAATAACTTGGTTGCAGTATATATGAATTGCTGGAAGGCCTAATATTGTAATGACAAGTAACAATACACGGTACTCTGTAAACCACATTTCCCTTACTCATGCTGATTATGTCAAAGAATTCAAATTATTTTGTGTGTTGTGGCTTCCCTCCCTTATTGTGATGGCTAATAATTTTTTTGGAATATACAAATATATATTTATATATATAAAAAAAACATATGTAATTTCTGAATTTATGCAAGAGACCTATCTAAAAATTGGGAACACATTCTCTGCCTTTTCATTTCTTCATATCCCAAGCTGACTTAAGCAAGGGGTCACATGCTGGTTTGCACCACCATAATTTAATACATGAGGTCCTTTTGAGCTCACTTGCAGAGGAACCCCAGAGTGGTTTGGGTTGGAAGGGACCTTAAAGGTTGTCTAGTTCCAGCCCCCCTGCCATGGACAGGGACACCTTTCATTAAACCACAATTTTTGGGCAGGCACTCTCTTGCAAGGGAGATTTGTTACTTTCTTATCAGTCTGTTCTGAAACTTTTTCCACTGAAACCTCAATTTGGAAGAGATTCTCTGACCATTCCACTCAAAACAAGCTCTAGAGTTTTGAAAGTCCCTGAACTCCACTGAAATGAACACCACTGCAAAGAATTAATTTAGATTTTCTGCTGCAGCCTTATCTTCCTTGAGCATTCCTTTTCCACACTGATCATCTATCAGCCCTTCTGAGTTTGTCAGGCTACCAGCTTCAGATGTGTTTGAAAAGGTTGTGCTACTGCTTTTTTAAATACTTAGCCAGCTGTCACTTGAGGGTGGAGTTTTTTTGGTATGGGTGTTCTTGGAGGTTGGAGGAGAGGGTGGCAGCCTTGTTAATTTTCTGCTTAAATAGCAACTCATGCTCTTTTCTGTTTTCCTTAACAGAAGGAAAATATCTTCCTTAAGACATTCACTTGTGAATCAGTTGCTGTACTTTAATAAATCCCTTTGCCCTGAAATTTAATCACATATCCTTGGTAAATGGACCTTTACTGTTGATGTTTTCCTCTTTTATTTCCTACCTGAATTTCAGAGCTTTTCTTACAGTTTGACTGCATTCTTGAAGAAATTGATGTCCCAAGCTATGGGTACTCTTTGATTTTCTTTTGTTCTTTAATTAAGAACTTTCATTTCAGCTTTCAAGGTCCTGTTTTGGTGTAAGGTGGTCCTCCCTTCTTGCACAAGTTCTGCGTATTGTTTTTTTTTACCTTTTGTAATTGATTAAACTAAGGGTCCTGCACATGTATTACTTTTGCATTTGATTAAACTCAGGGTCCTGTACATGCCAGAGTCCTTTAATGGACATTCAGAAGCTCTCTTTAGCTCAGTGATGCTAATTTTTATAGATTGTAAGCCACTGAGACTATTCCAGACAGTGTAAGCCTGGAATTCTGGTATTAAAATCCAGTAAATTATACACATATCAAATTAGCCCTAAGAAAATGGGTGAGTTAATACAGAATGTCTTTGGTGAAAATTGGAAGAAAATAATGCAAATAAATCCTGTCAGAAACAGTTTCATTGGAAATGGTGTTTGGAAGTAAAGTCATATATGTGGAATAAAGAACTGCATGAAGGAAAATGATGACTCTGAGATGAGCTGGGGTCACAGCAGAAGAGAAAACCAGAAGGAGCTCCCAAGATTAATTCTGTGGTAGAACAGGAGTGCTAATGGAGCTCTCCAGAGTATAATTCAGGAAAGTGTGAGTAGGAGGATTAAGGCTATTTTCATCTCATACAATATACTGACAAACAGGAATAGTGCAAGTAGTTCTTGAGTATGCATTATTAAAAGGTGCTGAACAATTCTTTATACATGAAAATATCCTACCACATGAAATAATTTGTGCAGTGAAAATCAGGCCTTATGGTAGAGATTTCAGGCTTAATTTGTTTCATCTACCTGAATGAGATAGATGAGATAATTTTATTAACATTCATGACTGTATCCTAAAACCAGAAAAATGCTAGGTACAAAAACCATTGTGTTAGGAGAACTAATTTGGATTTTCTGTTATAAAATGATAAAAGTACTGTCAGTTTGCTATGAAGTTTTAGTTACAAATCAGTGATATTTAAAATGCAGAAACAATGTGGTAGTCTAGGAAGCTAATTTGCCAAAGTGCTATTTCCATTCAGTTTGTGTATATATTGATTTTGTTACTATTTTGAATCCTGACAAGAAGGGATTAGATAATACAGTTTGTCGACAGTGATTAAATCAGTTCATGATTTGTTTTGTCTCAGTATGAACAGTGACTGGCATTTCTGCTTGAAGTTAAAAGTTCTCATTGATTTGAAGGCTGCTAGGATTGATCACCTCATAGGATAATTCGTAAGGCATTTTGGTTTTTCAAACATAGGAGGAAGTTCTTCAAACTGCAAAGTGTGGTTCTCCTTGAAGATTTACAGCACACCTGCAGCAGCAGAAAGGACAATACATGTGGACTGCAAAGCTCTGGTAAGATTACTTTAAATGTCAAATTTTGTTCTACTGCATTAGAAGAAAAATTCAATTTTTGCTGTTGTTCCGGCTGCTATCACAGAGGATTATTCAGTTTTATTAAGTGACCACACAATCATTTTTTGAGTAAAAAAATTCAATACTTATTAAGATCTCATTTAAGCTCAGTGATATGAACTAAAATAAATGCTTGAATAAAAGTATCTTCTTTATCCTGTTGGAAAAATTACACTTTTATTCTGCTGACATCTGCTTTTAATTTTGGATCTTAAATAAGCCTGAATTCTAAAAAACTCCAGTTTATCTGTATCTAGCCACAACGGAATATGGCTCTTCTGGTACTTTGCTTCTTCATGCATGCCAAATTATTATTGTCATTTAAATTTCTTTAATCATTGGGATGTATTTAATCATGTTGGTACTACTAGATGAATACATACTGTCATTCTCAAAAAAAATAATATTAGTCATACTAGAAGAACAATTGCATCATATTAAATAAGTATGTTTAAGTCACTTAACCATGTAAAGATAAATAACTTTTTAGTATGTTTGCTTAATAAATAGTGGTTTTGTTTCCCACTGATTTGTAATTTTGTTTGTCTTTGAATTATCATTTGTAAGGTGTTTGTTTTCAGAGCTAATATTTTTCCTAACTTCTGTAAATGGATTTTTGCTTTATCATCTAGACAGCCTCCTTTCGTCATGCATTACAATAACAGGTAGCAGCTTATATGAGTAGAGATAACTGGTATGGAACATTTTTGCAATTAAAAATATGTGATGGAAGTGCTAGGGGAGTACCTCTTCTAGTCACAGATGCTGGAAAAGAAGAAGAGTCTCTTCAGTTCATTTTACATGTGTTCAGATGGGGGAAAAAAAATCCAAACCAGTAAGCACTTCTGAAAATATTTAAATATCATTGCTCATGTATGACTTCAGATTTGCTCTTCTTTCCTTGAAGCTCAGTGTCCTGACTGTGAACTTCTGTAGGGAAGAGAAACAGAAAATGATGTTGACAAAGCCTTGGTGTTGGATGAATATGCTGGGAGGTGTCTGGTGCTAGTGAGAAATGTAAAAGCTGGACTAAAAGAGTTTGTGATTTGAGACCTTGAAAGGAGTAGTGTAGGTTTTTGTCCCACAGGATCATGCATTACCTTGTGTCATTTTCTGATCTGAAAATTCTCTGAAGTGGCAAAAGAGAAAGATAGATTTGAAGTACACTATTGACTCCTATTGTATGAGAAATTCTCAAGGTGCATTTGAACTCTTCCTATAAATTTTAATCAAATTCAATGTGAAAACTTGAAAAAAACCCCACATTAAAGTACAAAATACTTCTACGATGTTCAGGGCACTGAAATTATTGACCTTAAAATTTGGATAATTCCTTTAAAGGAAGATGAAGGAGGTAAGGAAGTAGCTATGCCTCTTCTTCAGATCTCTATGGAAAATGTAATTTTTTATTGATGAATTTGGAAGATGACATGAATATTTTTCATCTAACAAATAATAACATGTGGTTACTAATATGGAATTGTGATTTCTGAATTTATTGGTTATATGCCAAGCACTTAATTTTGGAGTGTGAGAGCTTTCTATCTCTAATGTAAGGGAATGGGATTATCCTAGCTGATGTCTCAGTAGAGCTGTCAGTGTGACACCAGGAAAGAGAACCAGTGCAGTCCTTGACTGCTGAAGAATGGTCAGACATGAACAGAAAGCAAATAATGCTGGTGGTACTGTTATTAGAATGTGCACACATCTGGTTCTTGAAGGTTAAAAATGAGTTTGAAGTACTGGAAGAAAATCAAAGTAATCTCCTAGAAGCATGGGGGACTGGAAAAGCAAGCCTTGTCTGATGAATGTTAATAGCTTTATCAACCTAGATTGCCAAAGAAAAAATGGAGAAGAAATGTGATTACTTGCTAAAGAATATTTAGTGATGATATCTCAGTTCTGCTGACTAACATGCATCAAGAGTTAACAGCCAAAAATTTATGTCTGAGAATTATTTAATCTTGTGTGGAATGTCCCAGTAATGAGAAAAATAAAATACTGGAAGATCTTACTAATGAAAACTGTAGACAGAGTTTTGTGAAGGTGAGAACTTGAAATTGCTTCAAAAGCTGATAAATATTTTAAAAGCATAGACACCTGGTACATCTGCTACATCAGTGAGTCAGGTTTAATGAATCCATTGATCTCTTTTTGACCTTAGAGTCTTCTTGCTTCCTGGCCTGTGGAACAAAGAGGATTAGCAACATTTAACATTTAATAGTGGACAGTGTGGGATCATCCTGGCACATGTCCTGTTATAGATGATGAGTATATTTGCTTGCAGATTTCAGATTTGTGTTTGAGGTTTGGCTTCAGGTTGACTCAGCCTTTTGTACTTCATACATGGGCATCTGAAATGGAGTGGCAGCTCCCACCACATGGAAAGGGGAGGTGAGGGGTGTCAGGATTCAGGCTGAGTTTCTGACTCTGGGCAGATTCTGACTCTGATGGATGGCCTGAGGCACTGGCCATCCCTTGATGCTGCTCCTCTTTTGAAGAGGAAGTGTGGAGAATTCTGAGGGAACACATTTAATTTGCTCAGAATTTTCTATGCTAAGTATTATTGCATGTGCTTTCAGCTATCTTTTGCATAATGCTTAATTCCGATTAGGTCAGCAATCTTGAACTGGAACAACACAGGATTTTCCAGTTACATTTACCTTTAGTTTGCTTTGTTACTTCCATGTCTTAACATCCTTAAGGTGAAAAATTTCAATATCAAAGTGTTTCTGCAGATATATATCTGAAAGACTTAGCATCAACTTGGTTTAACTCAAGCTTTTATTAAAATATTTTAAATTTGCATTTCTATTGTTGAGACCCATCTCGCTACATATCATTTCTGGATGTATTTTTTTCTCTCAACCTAAAATTCAAAGTGGAGATTGATTAGTGAAATTAATCAAACCCAGTTTTATGCTGCCCAAATTTTGTTAAAATTCTTTTGACCTGTTATAGCTGAAATCATTTAAGCTTGTACTTTGCTATTAACCAAATTATGATTAAGGTATTTATGGAAATAAAAATATAGAATAAGTCAATACTGAAAGCCATAAGCCATATTGAAAAAGTCTTAATTTTAAGCTCTACTCTAATTTCAATTATTTTAATGACTATACATCAGTAAAAGAAATACCCTTGTGTAAATAGAAGTTATCTAACTGGAAATTTAGTCAGATCCTGTTGTAGTCCTCACTCTTGAGCAGACAGTCTGGGTTTGTGGTTGGGCACTGGAACAGGCTCCCCAGGGCAGTGCTCACAGCAGCAGCCTGACAGAGCTCTCAGGCACATGGGGTGACTCTTGGGGTGTCCTGAGCCAGGAGCTGAACTCCATGTTCCTCATGGTCCCTTCCAACTCAGCATCTCCTATGATTCTCTGAAATGGATTTCAGTGAAGACCTAAGAATTGACCCATAAATTAAATTAAGTAAAGGAAATAGCTGTTTTAATTTAAAATATAATATTTTATTCCTAATTTTTACACACACCGTATTTCCCCCAATTTGAGGCACACATGTCTCTAAATTGAATTAGATTTAATTTTTTTGGTCCATGTGGTCAATAGAATGCCCACCACAAATAATTTTGTATGATACAATGCTTTATAGGTCAATAGAGTGTTTGAATAAGAAAAATAATGTAATCTCATTTTCTATATGTGTGTTCTTTACTTCCTATGAAGAAAATTATAGTAAAAAAGGAAAAATTGCCACAAACTTGGCTCTTAACACTGCTAGTGTTTAATATTGTTATGTTTAGAGGTTTTGGGACAAAAAAGCAGTTTCACATCCTACTTTTTCTCCCTGGTCATTAGTACTCATGGTATCTTCTGTGTTGGATAAATGTTTGGTGCCATTACGTTGCAAACAGCAAAATAAAATATTGATTTTAACTTTTTTTGTAATAATTTCACGTGCTTCTATTTCCAATTAAGGAATGGCTGACAGACTGTTTTTTCAATGTTCATTTAAACTTCTTTCCCATTTTCCTCTCCAGGTTTTTGGGGTTTGTGTTTTTGTTTTGTTTTTGTTTTTGTGGTGTTTTGGTTTATTTGGTGGTGGAGGCTTGTATTTTTGGGTTAAAGGTGGGAAGGCTGGGTGTTTTCATGTTTGGCTGTTTTTTTTTCCAACTTGGGCAGATTGGTACATGATTTCTGATTTTCAATTAAAATGAATGATTTTTAAAAGCCTGTAGCCTGCTGACCTGGATATTTTTTCTAATCCAAGCCCTGAATGCTCTGGAATCCAGCGCTCAGCCATTGCAGAATAAGAATAACCCTACTGAAATAGAGGGAGAGTATCCAGCTGCAAGGAAAATTTACAACTTTTCTAAGTTCTGTGTATATTAAGAGAAAATAGATAATTAATAGAAGCCTGGAAAGGTTGTAAGGATGCATTCCAGCTGTGAAGGATTGCTAAAGCTTTGTAAACAGGGGAACCCTTACAAGTGTGGCAGGGATAAACCTGTATTTCAGAGAAGGGATATTATCTAGTGTTGGTAATAGTGAAATAACCCAGTCAGGCCCAGTGCTGCTTATAATGAACACCTCCAAATTGCCTTACAACTTCATCAGTCACTGCCCAGATTTAAACTCCTTTTATGTCAGCTGTTATAATGAAAGAAACCAATCTAAATTCTAAGAATATATGCCTTTTTTCAGTGTCCTCTGTCTTTCAGTCCACCTAGAGAAGCAGTTTGGGCAGGTGGAAGTGCTGCCTGTAGAGAGCATTTCCCCACAGTCATTAGATATCTCATCAATTGTGCTACATGTAGAAATAGTTTCATAGCACTGTCCTGGAATTAATTCCAATAAAGAAATTTCAGATTTGTGAGGTGTCATTTTTTTTCTATCATTTTAGAAAATCATTCTGTTTTGAACAGCATAATGTAAGGGAGGGTGATGTTGGAGATTTGTGAGCTTTGGCTTTCCTTCCACT